GTAGGAGCCGTAATGGAACTATCCTTAACAAAATCGACAACCTACCGACAGGCATAAGGACGGTAATAGGAGATGTGTCTTTCATTGGAGTAAACATCCTCTGCATGGGTCACACCTGAGGATACTCCGCTTTACAACACAATCGATGTCGTTAGGGAACGTTGGGTTTTTGGGCTGGAACTGCTCGAACACCAACTTGCATTGGAACAATATTTCTAGTCGTTACCCGAATTCCTCCTTAACCGCCTGAACTTGAGCGGAGGCATTAATATCGATGGAGGAGAGCTCGCCGTTCTGTTCTATACAGATGACGCCATCATCAACGCCGCATACTCAATGAAACTTCAAACAGAGATTGTGTCTTTGCAGAAGGAGTTACGCGCCATCGGTCTGGAGATGGCTGCGCAGCGAGCACTGCCCTCTGAATATCATCTTCATTGGCGGTCAGCGCAGAACTGCGAAAAGTCGCTAGCCGCGTACACCTGGGCTACTCGATATGCTCCAGTAGAAACATCATCGACAAAGTCAGCAGCAGAAGGAAGGCGACTTGATGAAGTTTCTATAACAAGATGACGAACTGACCATTCTACCAGGAGAATCTGTTCGGCCGCATCGCCCCCCCCCCCATTATTATTTATGGCACGAAGTGCTGGTCTATCATCACCTCTGAGGAAATGAAACAAGTCGCAGCGCAAAGGGCGATGGAAAGGAGAATACGCCAGGTCTCCCTTCGAGACCTTGTTTTAAGTGGAATAGTTACGTGCTTACACGATTTACGGATGTACACATTATTGCCTACAACTCGAAAAGACAACGGGCTGAGCATATGGCACATGAAGAACAGCAGACGAGTATTCCGAGCTGTCAACTGGATCCCCCTGGGCAACCGAGGTCCTCTCGGTCGCCCAACTACTCGCTTGGACGATCCAGTGACGAGGAGGTTTGGTCAAAGAAGCAAATGGCACATCATCGAAAAGAGTGGCGGAACGTCGACTTGCGTCTGTGTTGCTACCGTTTACGAAATCAAGAGAGGTAGTCAAATAGAAAACCTTCACCCAAAAGATAAAGTAGAAATTGCATACGTAAACTTTTAGTGCATCAAAAGATGACCTCTGTATCAGTGCTCAAGTGGCATCAAGTAGAGGACTCTCGGTTGGCTATTTTGAAACCACTTATTCTGAGCGACAGGAAGCATGTCATTTCGTTATTTGAGCTGAAATACGAAACAGTTCACGGCTATAATTTCGATGTCTGTTCCTCCTTCTGACTAGTGCCAAATGTTTGCTAGTGAATATCAGCTGCATATGCGTTTATGATGCCATATTTTCCCATCATATCTATTGGCTAACCGCTTTGGTTGAAAAAGCTAGCAGACGCACAGTGATGGTGATTATTGTGCTATGAGACGCATTAGCCATAGATCTACAGCCATAGTCACAGTCTTTGATTGACAGATAGTCAGCATGTCAAGTGATAACGAGAAAAAGCAAGAAAGATATCTGCGCCAGGTAAGAAGAATTTGGGTAACATTGAGGATCGACAATTTTAATTATTTGAAAAGAAAGGAAGTAGGAAAGTTGTAACTGTGGAATGACGGTATTCCACACCCTTTCATGATGGGGCTACTTCTGGCACCCTTCTTTTCATCAGCATAATGGTATGAATTTATTTCTCTACCATAAACCGGAAATAGCCCTTAAAGGCAAATTCGGTAGAAACTATGTGGCAGGCATAATGTGCAGTTTCTAACAGACGTGCACTGATTTACGAACCTCAGAATCAAGAAAGTCAAATGAGCTGACCAAAACTCGAACTCAGGGCTTCACGGTTCTGAATCTGACTCTTTGCTGACTAAGCAACCCCGGATCCTATTTAAAATCAATACCGGTTGGTAGGTCATGCGGCTTGTCTGCATTCATTGAATTTTGACCAAGTCCATTACCATGATATGCGATATCAAAAATTGTGAAAACCACTGAAATGATTGATACAACGTTAATGAGTACACGGTGAATTTTTTCCCTCGTTTCTCATGTTCCTGTGAGATGGACAATAAAAGAATGTCCTT